TTGTATAGTACACTTTAATCAGAAATAGTGACTTTAAGATTGCTCTATAAAATCGTACAAGATCTTTTAATGGGATTTTTTGACCTGAGTAATCAAAATGAATAATGCATTCACCATTCTTGAATATATCAACACACACTTCCACATATATTTTTCTCTGTTTTTATATAGCCTCATTTTAGTTGAATCTCTATTGTATATGTATAATGTTCTATCGAAACTCGACAAAAAATATCACACATTTTATAGAATATGCCTATGCATTATCTGTTGTCTACATTATAAGACTAATACTAATTTACATGAAATTTTGATCCTTTTAACACTTAAAGATCGTTCTAGAAGAGTTACACTAAAGCGTTTAGGTAATATTCGAAATCATGAATTACAAATACTTGTTGCCATTTATCAATATCAACGATTGAAACTAACATTACAATAATATTTTACTATACAAAAATGTATTTCTCACTTACTTAATTGTCGATCAAGAAAGAAACAAAGAATTTTTATCAAAATAATCAACAAACACTATTTGATAACATACTTACTTTTTTTGTAATGAGCGACTAATTACAACCAGATTTTTGCGAGAAACTTTCCACTTTTCAGGACTTCGAAGGTCAAATCTGTATATAAAGTTTTTTTTTTCGATAATTCCTAGTTTCGACCTTTCTACTTCAAACCAAAAGTATCCATTAGTATCGATATTTTGAAATTGAACTATTGCGTAGTTATTACAAAAGAATATTCTAATAAAGGAAGACTTTTCCCACATCTGTCCTGTAGCGTTTGTTTGCAATGAAAAGAATAGGGATAGACGATTCTGATTTCGACATCTCAAAAAAAAAATCCATACTGCCGATTCTAATATAATTCGAAAAAATGGTCGATTTGATTTCACAAACAAGCCATTTTTGCCTCATTCTAAGTCGTGAGAATTCGTGTAAATTATGATAGAAACTCATTCTTGATCACATTTTGCCATATATTTAAAAATAGAGTTACCATACTTTTACAACAAATAGTAGCTTTAATATTTGGATATTAATCAAGAGGAAAACAACCGAATCACAAATCCTTGAGAGTACAGAATCTGCTATTTTCATCTTGAGAAACTCTTTCTACAAATCATCATCATCGCCAACTACTTGCTATAGTAACATCAATTCAATGTATAACAATATGAGAGAATACACAAAAGCATTTTCGTTTCATGAAAAATTGCTTAAAGTTGAACACAAAAAAAAAATCATTGTCTCTAAATTATTTTAATATGGATACATTCTGTAATAATATCGGTGGGATTTATTGTTCGATAAGAAAATATTATAAAACAATGTCTTATTATTTGTGCACTCTGATTACTTTGCGACTTTTACTTGCTTCAGATTATCTATAGAGTATGTCATCAGTGAAGAGTGAATTGATGAAAAAAAGAAGATTGATATTAAATTTATTGTAAAAGAAATAACCAAACTGAAACCTAATGAATGGTTACTGATGAATCTTAAACACCATTAGATAGTTTTCGGTCTCAAACAAGAAACAGTTTCGAAAAGTTTTCGACAAGGCATAAAATGATCGTCGAACTATGCAGTCTGTTCTAATAACATTGTTCAACAAAATAAATGTGGCTTTGCAATATTGATTTGTTTATTGATATTAATCGCAATCACTGAAATAAAAGTGTTTATCATAATTATGTATATTCAATTGATAGACGCGAAAGATATTTCTAATAATTAGACTCGAATGTTTTTCGAATAACTTTCGATAGGAACAAGATAGAGATCTGCAGTTTTTCGCACTCGACAGAAGAGATAGAGATGATCATCCAGATATGTCAATGATTGTTGATCGAACAGTTGAGCAAACAAATGAATTTCTTGATCCATATTTTGACAACGACATTTCAAAGGCAAGTTCTCCTGTCATATTGACTTGTAATAAAATACTATTTCATAGAAAAAATTATTTTCTTTTGATCTATGTAAAATCAACATTTCTATTAGAAAATTTCGCTACGCGCTGTTGGAATTTAGAAGAAAACTTTCATCTACTAAGGAATTTGCTCTTATTTTTTGTCTTTTATCGGTTTTTGTAGCGCTACGATAGAGCATTGTAAACAGGTAAAAATAAAAATTTCCAGGTATCAATTGAATTCAAAATTGATATTTTTGCTAATGGTCTTTGCTAGCAAAGAATGTTCACAACTAATAAATGATTTCGAAAAATAAGATTTTTTTCTAGCAATCGAAGTTAGTGAAATTCATATTTTATGTCCGATTGAAGTTTAATGGTCACTCTACAAAAATCCATTACATCAACAGGATATTAGACATTATAAGAAAAAAAGCTTCATTTGGCATTGTAGAAGGAAAATCCAGTTTTTAATAACACTGTTTTCTATGGAATCTGTTACCTTGCAACTCGAATATTTTGATGACATTAGAGAGTTCGTGTCGTGTTAGTTATACTCACGCATAACATACCTAAAAATTTATCTTCTTTGCACTGTTAACAGCTGGAAATGGTTCGACACAAGTAGAAGATAATAAACACATGGAAAAATATATGATCAATCGTTATTTTAATGCTTTCCAAATGTTTTTATTGAGTACAACAACAATAATTTTTTATAATAGCTATCATAGTGTGAATGGCGTCGTTAAGGCAAAGAAAAATAACATTTGAAAGGAGAATGATATAACCAATAATTAGCAGATAAATTTATGAATTTTGTTTTTTATTTGGAATAAATATGTTTTTAAATGTACGAAAAATAATCAGATATTAAATTATTATTATTAAGGATCGATATATATATATATATATATATAATAGAATTCAAAATAGATACGATAATTGGTTGATGTTGGTACAATCAAAAAGATAAAATTATTTCGTGTCGAAATACTAGAATAAAATAGAGTACATAAAAATATATTGAACATAAGCTAACATGTTAGAGAATGTAAGTTTGGTGTATTATAAGTAAAAATTATGATGATTAAATAGATAAGTATAGAGACAACTACTGATAGAAAAGATGCATCAACGGCAATATATAAGTCGACAATGTCATCAACATCTCAATGGATGAATATAATATCGGAACGTTAAATGCATTAAAATTTGAATACTTTCATTGTATCCAATTTAGAATTAAACATGATTTAATCCTTTGAGTTCCAGTGTAGTTTATAAAGTACGAATTTTTCAAATTTCTGTATCTTTGAATAATTTGTCAACATAAAAAGATATCGAAATGTGATGATAAATTTTTGTGTGCTAATCTTGAATATATAGTCTAACACAATATGAATCGTGTCAAGTCGAGTCACAGTGAGTTGATTGATGTCAAAGTTCACATAAGACAAATAGCAATTCTAGATGACATTATGTTTTTGTTCTTTTCAATTTTGAGAGAACTCTTATGTATTCACCGAAAAAAAGTTGTTTAATCTCTGAAAAAAACTCACTTTGATTGGTTGAAAACTATCTTTGATATTGTGTCGAGTCCAGTTATACTCAAACCGGGTCTCGTAAAATTCACTCATGTCGAACACTATGGTACAATGGACGATTCTTCCTTGCTCCCCATTGCCGCCTAATGTATGCCTCAATAGTTGGTGCTTATTTTCAATAAACCTTTTGGACTATCCAATAATTGATCCTCATATTATGTGTAAATAATCTAAAGACATTCTAGAATATCAAATGCAATTTTGAAATGAAAATCATATTCCTAGGCTAATACATGAATTCTTTTGGAAGAAGTCTCAAATCTTAGTAGTAATTCTCGATCATAAAAAAAGGTATATTTCAGTAATTATCAAGAGCTAGCACTTCAAATTCATAATGAACAAAAAGGAGAGTCGTAACTACACATTTTGGTAAAAAGAAAAAAAATTTCATCACTCATGAATTAGAAGTTATCAACATGTTATGGTTCTTGAATATATTTATTTATAAGTTTCAATGACAATATTGATACGTCCATTGTTATAAATGAGTAGTATATTATTATTAACTTACAACTTATTCTATAACCTCGATGAACAGTTCAAGTATTCGTGAAGAAATTGTATCGAAAATTTCTTTCAAATAAAACTTTCAAATTAAATAATAATAAACATTTCCTTTAAATATAAAAATAGAAAAAGTTATATTGTATATTGATTTTTCACTTGTTAGATATACAGTATGTTTTTTTTCCCTCAAATTAAAAAAAGAATTTTACCAACGAACATATGATTGTTAACAAATCATTTTCTTTGTAGAATTTTAAAGTATTTGTTAATTTGAAGTAATTTACATTTACAATTGTTATGATATGTAAATGACATTTTTGTCAAATAAAGAGGTTCTTCAAAGAGATCATGCTCTTTTTATTATCTATATTTCTCTTCATTTTTTTTATAATAGTTGATCATAATAATCCTAAGATTACACTTATTTTTCTTTTTGTCAATGCCATTTAAATAGATTATGTAGGAGATTCTCTTATGAATCATTTTAAGATTAAGTATGATTCTATCCTTGAAAAATGTACTGAATTATTATTTTCTTGATCTTTGTTTTTTTTTTACATAAATATTCATTTTTAGACAAAACATCTCATCAGTTGTCAGTAGTTTTACAAGTTCTGCATTTAAGATGAATTCAAATAATGTTGTTCCACCAGAGATTAGTAATCGATTAAGTCAACATCTAAAATTCGTAAATTGATTCTTGTGTATGATATCTAGCGTAAACAATGGACTAATCCTATTGAATTCTTTTTAACATTGGTAGCATTTGGTCTGTATACAAGTCTTAATATTGTAGAAATTTGAAATTATTTTTTCATACTTATTCTAGCTGTCGGTTTAGGAAATGTTTGACGTTTTTCATATCTTTGTTTTAAAAATAGAGGAGATAAAAATAAAGAATTCAATAATTTCTTTCTATTTTCTGTTTATATTACAGATGCATTTCTGATACCATACACATTAATGCTTATTTTTATTGGTGCACTTGTTTTCTATCTTGAATTAACTTTAGAACAATTTACTTGTGCTGGTCCACTAGCTGTTTGGAACGTCAATCCATTATTACGAGGTTTGTTTCATATTATTAAAAAATAACTGTTATCACAATCTTGATGGGATTAAAATGTAACACATGATTGATTCGCATGTATTACAAATCAAGAGATTTTGTAACATATGCTTCAGTTTAAGATTTCAAACATACTGATATATTTGTGATGGAGTCTGATGTTAAAGGATAACTAGAATATGGAATGAATGACAAAAGAATATCACAGTACATTTATTTCGGATTGATAAACTTTCAAATGTAATTTATTATCTGAACTATTGTTCTATAGTTATTATAGGTATTGATTATGTATCAATGGCTATAAATTATTTTTGGAGTCTATATTATATAGTACTCATTGTTTATTGTTTTTATTAGTTAATAGCATCGTTTCAACTTATTGTTCCATAATCAACTTGTAATAATTGGTGGAATACATTATTATGTACTAATAAAAAACGAAACATTAGCTACTTTAAGTCAAATTGATATTATTTCGATGAAAAATATTGTTTATTTTTATTATTTAGTCAATAAAATATGTATTTTTAGATATGACAAGTTCGCTTAGTGATGAATACTTTTAGTAACAGTGTTTTTTTTTAGGGTATTTAGGTTAATCAAATTTATTTTGTGGAACTCACGTATATTTTCGAAGAAAATAGTGAGTCTTAGTTTTAAGTTCGAGGTTTGGCGGCTCCCCACTCCCCTTACAGACCATAGCAACGAGGTCCCCATTACAGAGAATCTCCATTATAGACTTTAGCGATGGAGAATAAAATGTGTTAGGTTTTCTAGAGTTTGAAAAATTGCTCAAGTTATAATTTTGAAGATTAGTCAACATCATTATCTGTGAGTTGATTAACATATATATAATAGTGCATAAGATGTGCTGTAGATATCATGGATATGTAAAACAGACTTATTTGCCGATTCAATGATTATAATAATAAGAATATTAAATTAAAAAAACACGAATAAAAAAAAAAAGAAATAATGAGCGAATAGTAACAATGCAAACAAAAAAATAAGGTGCTTGTAGAAAAAAAATTTCTATTTTAAATGTAGAAATAAATAATAAATTCTCGCTCTTACCATCGATTATTAGTGAAAACAACTACAGTCGACGACAATTTTTTCAGTTTACGGATTATGTATTAGGATAACAAGGCTAAAGGATATACGTGAGTTCCACATTTCAGCTCTGAAGAAGCTGCGCTAACAAGCTTTTTTTGTTTTGTCTAAGTCGTCGAATACTGCAGGTAAGTAGTAAAATCGAAAATACAAATGATATTGTTATTGAATTAGCTGTTGCTTTAGCTGTTACTTAGCTTATTTGTTTTTTGGCATTATCAATAGGTGTTCCATCATTGGGCAACGTAAAAATTATTATGTGTTCAATAATAAATAAAAGAAATCGATTTCATAATTTATTATAGGTTGCATATTTTAATGCTTTATTTCCTTATGTAATGTTAATTGTCTTAATTATTCGTGAAGCAACATTGAGTGGTGCTATTGAAGGTATTAAATTATATATGGGAACAGTTAATTTCAGTGTATTAAAAAATTCCTCTGTAAGATGACTTGAATATTCAACAAAAAAAACAATACATTTTATTGAATGCGTTGTGTTTTAGTTTTTGTTTTTAAAGAATGGTAGGTATGGAAAGATGCATGTACGCAAGTATTTTTGTGTATTAAGTTGTTATAGTGGGGGGGTCTTATTGTAATGGCATCATTTAATGATTTTAATAATAATGTTTATCGGTATGAGATATGTTGAAAATTCTAGGATGTTTATTGTTTTCTTGTTCTATATTTAATGATACTTCGTCTATTTGTCTTGTTACATGGTTTACAAGTACATTTGGTGGTTTTGTAATTTTTATTATATTAGATAAGAACTTATTCTTAATTCAATGAATTTATTTATTTGTTTAAAGATCATATGGCTATAAAAACGGATGTGAGTGTTGCTGATGTGGCTAAAGGTGGTAAATGAATATATTCTTAATTATTATTATTTGAAATTAAGCTTTTTTTTCTGTAAAGGACCTGGTCTAGCATTTGTTGTCTTTCAGAAAGGTCTTTCAATGATGCTATTTGCACCTCTATGGTGTGTTATATTCTTTTTAACATATTCGAGGCGATGTGGCCTATCGGTGGGCCACACTATGGAATCACCCAAAAATCCATTTATCGCAGAAAAATATAAAATATCTCTGCCACATTTTGACCAATGGGGTTGATTCTTTTACCACAGATAAAGGAATGTTGATAGCTCATATTCATAAGAGAAACGTTGGTAAAAACTGTTTTGAAGTATTACAACTGGCACAAATAAAGAGATGAAACCTTCTATGAATTATGAAAAAGCAATATTCATGTCGCCGCGAATGGGTTAATGATGTATACACTTGGTTTTAGTTCCGAAGTTAATTAATTAAATTTCTTTTTTAAATTTATGAATTTTTCTTTATTTAGTTTTCTATTATGGAAACAAAAATGGCTCGAATTATTGATGAATATAAAATATATTTAAATACGCCAAAGAAAATTGTTATATTTTGATTTTGTGTATCATTTGTTTTTTTTTCTACTTGATTGGTCCATAGGTGACCCGAGTATGTATATTATTAAAAAACAATCATCAACAACATAGGTATATTGACTGTTTAGAGTGGTCTGTATGTTTTGAATATAATTGACTAATCTCTCGATGGCTTTCCTTGGCTAATCATCGGTGTGAGTGAATTATTTTGTATTGCGTGGGTTTATAGCCAAAGAAAAAAAAACCAATCTAATAAAGAATCATTCTCGCATAATTTTTTTTTTTCTTTAGGTATAGATAATTTTTGTTATGAAATTGCATAAATATTAGGTGAAGAACAACGTCCAAGTAAATTATGGCAAATATGTTGAAAATTTGTAACACCAATTATTCTTCTTGTAATTATATTTATTCTTTATTCATCCGTGAAACTCATTTAACATATGTCTTAATGTACAATTATGTTTTCTTCTCTATTCTATCAAGAAATAACATTAGATGATTATACATATCCATCATAGGCACTTGCGCTTGGTTGGATAGTACTAATACTATGTTTTGGTTGACTTCCATATATTTTTCTTATTGAAATTTGTCGTCGTAGAACATAGAATGTATCTTCAACATTTGTCACGGTTCACTTTCTTTAACTTTTTGCTTATTAATAGGTAATTATAGAAGCTTATTTTTCTCACATTAAATGGAAAGAAGCACGAGATAAACATCGTTAATTAGCAACTTGTTATACAAGATATATCAAAGTGAAAACACTTCGTATCCAAACACTATCGACAATTGATAGTGTTGTTTTTAGTTCAAATGCAATAGTCAATTCAAAATTATTTATCAAGCAAATTTCAGATACGTCAATTACATCTTTTTAAAAATACACAATAGTTATTAATTACTTATTTGGGACGCTTTTTTTTGTGTGAAATAAAAAAAGATATTAAAATAACAGAGAAAAAAAAATTCAAATAGGCTTTTTGCTTAATGAATAACATTATTGCCATATTAACCAAAACAAGCAGCTCGATGGGTTTTGAATTCTTCCCAACTCGTACACATACGCTCTATAAGAGTAGAAGAATAAACTGATTTTTATCGTTTTCTAGCCAATGAAAAAAATCGTAAGAATACTGATCGTTACAATTAAGGTGAATAAAAAAATAGCAATAATTATGCAAAGATGAAAAATGCAATACACACATAAATATGAATAAAGTTGCTTACTAATAGAAAAAAAAACGTCAGATTGGGTCATTAAAATATGAAAGCGTTGGCGGCCGGTTAATATTCATATTTACATTCACCTTATTGAAGTCTAACAAATAGGAATATGTTAGGCGTTTTAAGCGTTGGTCTTGCATGAATATGATGAAATTGGGGATAAGAAAAAAAGATTGACAATCAAAAGAAAAAAAAGAAAAATAATTGGTATAAATGCATGATGCTGATGACGTTCGTACATATTGATATGAAAATCACAATATAGCAGAAACATTATCCACACGCAGCTTGATCGGAATTAATAATATCGTCATATGTAGTACAGAAGGTTTTGATACGTTCTAGAAAAATATACATGCATTTTCATTCTGTTTTTATTAGCATTTCCAAATTGAATAAATTTTATATATTTTTGTTTTGTAGACTCATTGTTAGTACAGCATGGAGTATTAACTTGTTAATAAAGCTTGAATGTGGATCTCTTTTTTACTATACATCAGCTAACTATTTGATTTTTGATAAGCTTTATAAAAAATAAGATAAATTAGCGCTTTTTTTTAATTTAATTTGTTAATAACTGTTATATTTGTAATATAATAGACAAAAATCAAGAAAGAAAGCAAATTGAATTCTTTAATTGCACTTGCAATATTTCTTATTCTGCGGCATAAACGATAAACCTTCTTTTTATTAAAAATCATGCATTTATACTATAATTAAAGCAGCAAATAATATATAGCACAAAAAGAAAAGAAGAATATTCGTTGGCAGCAAGTAGATGAAGCTTTTTGTTTTAGAATACATATTAGTATTATTCGTGCATTCATTAGCCAAATAAAATATGATTAATGATCAATAGCATGCCGACGGCAAAGAGATCCGTGCAAGATATCTTGAATACTACAGTATGTTGTGCGTTCTAAATAATTAAGTGTATTAGTAGAACCGTGCTTGAGTTAGGTGATATATAAGCATTCATGCATTCAACCGGTTAAATAATCAAGAAAGAACATAATCGACTTACTTTTCACTTCTTGTAACCGATCTGAATTTTCGTCATTAACTAATTTAAAATATTCACCAACCTAATAATGAAAAACAAAAAAGCGATTATTTTCATTACAATCAAATTTCACTAACCAATTGCTGCTTATACAAATTTTGTTTAGTCCGTTTTGCAGCTCGTTGTGCTTCACTTGATGTTAATAGAAAATGTCGTAATTTGTTTAAATCATACATTCGACGTTGTTGATATACTTCATTATCATTGGGACTATCCATATCTACTGTACGACGTTTATTCAATGGTGCTGCTTGTGATAATTCAATTGATAATTCAAGTACAATAATGAATAAAAACAAAGTAATTTGCTTAGATAATATAAAGAATTTCGGCATTGTGGACGAATAATACTGCTTTAGGGATTAGACAAAAAAATATCTCTACAAAAAAAAAAATAATATGAATACGCATATATAGGTATGTAATTGAGAAAAAAAAAATATTCGTCAGTAATGAAAAATCTGATAACGTTTATTCATACAGGTAATGTCGGATTGCCATTGTGCTGTATTTATATACCTGTATATTTAATCCTTTTCGGGAGAGGAAAAAAACAAAATAAAGGAGGAAGAAAAACTACGTCAAAAAAAACAAATAAACGTACAGACTTACATGTCTTGTTCGTTGGCGTATATACAAATTATTTCCATTGGCATGTCAAACATATTAAACATAGTTGATAATCAACCACCTACTTTATATGTGCTTCTTTATGTTTTTTTTATATCTATTACGTATGTAGTGACGAATTCAAAGCTCTCAATTATCATAAATCATCGATCGATCTTCGTCGAGAATAATTTTATTTGATAGACGAGGAAATTCTCACTACAAGAAAAATTCTCATTCGGCACGATTTACAAGATAGTGACGTTAGTATTTCAATACACATTTAAAATACTTGTCATCCGAGATTTTTATTAAATGTACGTTTTCACACAATAAGACATGCGTGCCATTTTTTTTCTTTCCCTCTCTCTCTCTCTCTCTCATACGGTGAATATTTGCATCCATTGATTGCACTTTTATATTACACCGTCGATGTCTTTAAGGAAAAAAAAAACGAAGACACATATCGTTTTACTAACAAGATAAAATCTATGATGGTAATCATCCGGTTAGAAATATGCTTGTCAATTTTCGTATAGACTTCAAATGATTATTACATATTATAAACTAAAAGGTATAGTTACAAGCAAATATGCTCATCTTATCAAAGTCATCATTATAAATAAAAAAGTCGAAACTACTTAAGTAATTCACTTTCATTGTCGTATTTTTTTACACGAATGATATAATATAAATAGAAGAAACCAACATAAATAAATAAAAAAATATCGCAAGAATATAGATCGACAAGAGACTAGAAAAGACTTATCCTATTTGCTACTCTATTCTTTTACTTTCTATCATGAAAATACCAAGGGATTACAAAATATTAATAATATAGTTTATTGTCTTTATATATGCATAGAAAAAGTGATAAAATCTTGATCTTCTACTGCAAAAGATATACAGCCATATTCTATATAACGACTTTATGAAAAAATCATATCAGTTGATTCTGATCAAATTGTTAGAAAACTGTAGAAAATAATATACTTTAAGGTTGCTAATATCTATTATATTAAAAGTAACTCAATCCCACGACGGAATATCTCTCTTTAGAGTACTTCGAAGAATTCATTAATTTTTGATTGGATATTTTTCAGACGTTGTTGTTTTCCTTAGTACAAGATTTGAATAAAGAAGTTCTGTAGAATATCAACTTCGACAGATGAAAAATGTCGAAAAAAAAAACTTAGGAATCTGATAAGATCGTGTTCAGTTTTTTATAAGAAAGTTAATGACATCGAATATCATAACTAATGTAAATGAACGTACACAATACTCTCAACGACTCTATATAATGTCCTTTAAGGTTTCCTTAATATGATGCTATAGTAATCATTTGATTTATTTATTTCATTATTTATTATATAACAGATATATATTGTTGTTGAAGCATATCTGGGTTAGACTCTTATCTTGATTTCATTTTCTTAAGTTAACAATACATATAGTATTTAAAATAGATCTCAGGAAAAATGGTAATTTTAGTCAAATTATTATGATTTGTCAAAAACATTATCAGTCAATCATATCCCTATGAATAATA